TGGATGCTCTGAGTGCTCTGGCCGCATGATTTCACACTTGTCTCCCACTTGTCTCCCAGTAAGCTCTGGATGCTCTGAGTCACAACCTGGATCCATAAATTTCATGTTTTAGCCCCTGTACGGCGTCCCATTCTAAAGTCAATGAAAAACATAATTTTAATGCTTTCCCTTTGAATCTTGTATGTGCGTCTACATGGTGGACTACAGTTTTCTTCCTCTAGGAAATACTGCTGGCCATATTGTTCGGAGATCTCATTTTTGAACATTGCTCTGTTTGGGGTCTACACTGGTATAATTAAGCGTCCACGACGGATGCCATCGGCCCCTCTCAACCCAGAACACACCCCTACTCCACACCTTGCGAGTACACGGTACATGTGATTAAACAAGCATTCTCAGACTGCTAATTTCAACATGATGGCCGGTGGTCGCAGAAGATTGAGAAGCTGCAATGGTTGGTGGTAAAGTTGATTGTAACGATGCATGCAAATGGATGAGCCAAAAGGGCCCCAAAAAACAAAAGAAGAGGACTGTGAGACCAAGGCGGAGGCAGTGACCCTCGGGTACCAGGCGTTGGCAATGGGGAAGTAACCCCGTGTTGGCAACCCGTGGCTGATGGCAGGGAGCGCTGCTTACACACATACCACCGGCCGCCCTTCCTCAAGGTTCGTGACTGTCCGGACTGTCCGTTGGTCGCAAACAGATCACTCAGACTGTACATCGCGAACGTGAATCTTGCTTCGCAGGCCCACGGTGGACACAAGTACATCAAGCACTACAAGAATGCCCGAGGCCAAACGTGGATGCTTAGCTTTGAAGTTACTGTTGCGACCGTGGTAGATTTTTCAATCATTCTTGCGATTTGGGCGTCGTAGCTGTCATTCGGATCTCAATGCAGTCCACCTCGCGAGCGCCTGCGCCAGCTGGCTAGAGACTCAAGTCTTTGGAGTGGCTGGCGTGGTAGGTTGCGAACAAGTGCCAAGGCTGTCCCTGCCGCTCAGCTTGGCTAGGTGATGGTGCGCCACGGGCAATCCATGTGTCTGAACTTGACATGAGAGACACTAATGTAGTCCCTTGATTAATAAACCCAACCAGTTGAATATTGGAAATTCTCTTTATAAGGGGGTCTTATTAATCAAGAGTCTACATTACTATATTTCCGACTGTGGAATGTGTGCAGGTTTTTGTGACGACATTTGCAACAGCGAGGCCTCACTGCAACTCATTGCTCGGCAAAGTTTTTTTCTTTTCCTCAAGTTGGTGTTGCAACGTTAGTTCAATCAAGCTTGGCTTCAGGGCAACAGATTAGGTACGCCATGTGTTGTTCTTTCATCGATTGGAGCTGCCTGGTTCTCTGTCAGGTGTGCGGTTGGGACAGAGGTGATTGTGGTCTGCGACCGAGAGAGAAGGTCGCCGATGTCGGACCTGTCGGTCGGCGACCGGACCTGTTTTGCTGAATTGCCGCTGCGAGCCCGTGCGCTTAGGATCCAGTGGAGCTTCGTTGCTGCCTGAGCTGGGCCAGCTGTGCATGCCTTTGCGGTGGAGCCGTCGACATGTCTTTCCACCGATTTTCACCCTTCAAGACTGCATCTGGAGCCATTTGACTTCGCGATGCAAGCTGAAACGGCTAGCTATGACAGACCACCTACCACACAAGAGTGGCCCACCGTCAACCTAAAAGTTCCAGCATCACCCCGTTGACCCTCGAGACAGAACTAGCTCTCATGTGCTCTCATGCCGTGGCCACAAGAGTTCACAGTACCTCAACTGCATCTGGAATCTGGACCTCAACGGAATCATGCAGATGGAGCTATGGCAGTCGAGTCGGCGGCTTTGAAGTTGGACATCGGACATCGTTCTTCTTGCTGTAGCAAGGGGCAATGAAGCACCATCAAAGATATTGTTCAAGGTTTTTTCTTTCTGTATTCCAGTAGGTACTGTTGTATTGGCAAACTTGTGTTTGAAGGACATCCTGCAATTGTGTTAAGGCCGTGGGCCGCTCTGGCCGACGTCGCGGACGAGGCATTTTACATCCGCAACATGACCCGGCTTTCGATGGCCGACCGACCTATTGCTGCAAGGATGACCAGTCGCTCTCTGAGGATGAAGGACTGACACGTTAGCAAGAGAAGTGGGGCTTCTGTTGTTTGGTTCTTGAACCTATTGGTGGCACTGTCACATAGCTGATCATAATATGAATCATAGCTGTTTCAGAGTAAGAAGCCACTGCGAAACGGTGTCCTTTTCTTCACGACAGGGCCAAAGAGCCACAGGGATGCACAGCAGTGATGGATTGCTAAGGAGATGGAAGCCATGCTTCTCGTGAAGTCTGGGAGCACAGAGCTGAGGAGTCCTGCCTGCACAAATTCAATGGTTGAAGTGTTCGTAAAAACGAACATGGACTCCAAGACTCCCTTGATGCTGTGTTTTTTCGTTCAGTTCAGCCTGTCAAACTTGCAAGCTTCGCCTGGCCTTTTTGGATCAAGCTGTCGCAGAGAAGGCAGCACTTTCTCAAACGCTCGACGACTGCTGTGCGGTGAAGGCTTTCGATGCCATGGGAGTGGTTGAATGTCCAAAGGTTTAGGAGTTTAGGACAATTATATAAGCCATCCAGTGATAAACTGGAGTAGAACGGATGATGATCAAGCCTTAGTAGGCTTTGACCTCATCCATGATTTGCCCTTGTTTCTCTGAAATTGGACAGGCCGCAGCTCAGCATTGGAAGCATGTCTGTCCAAGAAGTTGCAGGAGCGTTGGAACTCGCGCAGTGTCCTTGGGCTTTTTGTTCTTATTTACTCCTACAATTTCAGTTCTCGTGAAGCGGCCGAGGTTCAATGGCCTCAGTGAGTACTACGGCTTCGAACTAAGCTCCAACGGACCGATGTGCGTACTGCAGCCTTTGAGTGAAACAAAACTAATAGTGAGTCATGCCGCAAGAATCACCCAAGGTGCCATAGCCAAAGACCCCAAAACTCCAGAAAAAGAGAAGGAAGCATGCTTGGCGTTTGTTGACGCAGAGAGCAGGCTCGATAAAGAGGACAGCTGATTCTGGATTCTGGCTCCTCCGGCATTTGTAGTCGCAAGCCCTGCTTGTGTGAACCTCAGGATGTTGAAGGATGCCTGTCTTTGTCAAAAGGAGCCGTGCAGAAGTTCGAGGCGCGTGATTGATGGTGACCAGGACCTGCTAGGACCTCCTAGGATTTTGTTTGTTGTCCCCAGGCGATCAAGCACCCCACAGGTGTTGCAGACACCTTGCGCATCTTGGCACGTGATGTGTTAGCTTTAGCAGCTGCCTCACTTCCCCCTCGGCCAAGGAATGATGGTGTTAGCTTACCGAATCCAAGCCGATGTGCTTCGGAGCGCAGAGGAAGACAAGTCAAAAGACATCAAGGCAAGCCATAGCAATGCATGTGGGTGGATGTTAGCTCATATACTTGCTCAGTTCAGTCACAATTCACAATGGCAGCACATTCAGAATCGGCCACACCTTCGGAATTGTGCTGCGCCACCTGGCACTTTTTAACTGTTCGACTGCAGGCAGCTCTGAGCACTGCAGAGGGCCTTGCCCGGGAGCACACCGCAAAGTTCAATGCTTCTGGGGACAAGCGTAGTGAGGCAGTGCTGCTGCTGGCGGCAGGAGAGATCAACTACAACAAACGAGGTGCCAACCGCTATCATGATGATGCTGAGTTCACCCTCACAACTTTTCTTGTTGGCTATTTCATTCGTAGTGGGGGATGCACCCACTAGTGCATCCATGCTTTCATTCAGCTATGTGTTCTGCTTGCTCCATTCCTGCCTTGGCTACTTCATTCGCTCACCACATTCTTACCGAGTTTAGGTGAGGCACTCAGGGTATCAAGTTCTAAAGACAGCACTACTTATTGAGAGTAACTGTATGGTGGTAATGACGTCCAAGATCTCAACCATTGAAGTCTAGCAAGCAGCATTCTAGTTGATCAGAGTAGGAGATGCAGTGATACCTGCACAATCTGGAAAATGCAAACACACTTAGATTGTTGCTCGCAAGAGCTAGGATCAGTACGAAGTTCCCCTTGACTTGAAGAACCGAAGGAAGTGCAAACCGCAAGGTGGTAAAGTCAGTGAACTTGTAGGTGTTGAACACAGTTGGGTAATGCATTAGCGGCTTACTGCAAAAAACACAGGATTGGACAGCTTGTCAACAGTTGAAAAATTAGAGCAGGTACGTGGAATCTGCGTCCAGATTGCATATCACAGCAAACTTGAAGTGTCTTCGTTGAGCGGTGACTTCAAGAATGCCCACCGCCCCCCTGCTACATTGAAGTAAGACCGAGCGAAGAAATTCACAAAGTTGTCTAAAGAAGAGTATCGTGGGAAGGAGTTGAAATCCTTGGAAACAGGCGTTGACACACACACACACACACAGAGGGCCGCATTCGGCGCACTCTGTACGGGGAGAATTGGAAAGACCGCAAGGAAACAAAGAGGATTGATACGCAAGCTTTTTTGTAGTGCTTGCCGACAGCTGCGAAGATCATGTCCTTTTTGGACGTAGAGGTCTGCTAGCTGAGCGAGCGCTCGCTCAACAGCCGAGGACGGGTAGGTGTACTTGCGGATGAGGTGGGCGCGAGAATGTAGACCTGAAAGTTGTAGTCGTGCTGATCCAGCTGAGGCATGATCGCGTATTTTCCATGGAGCATCAGGTGGGATGTAGGAAATAGTCCGTTGGTGAAGGTCCACATCAAATCCAAGTAGGTGCATGTCCCCCACCGGTTCAAGCTCCATTGGGTTGCTGTAGAAGTCCGGGTGGATCAATGTCTGGATGGCAAGGTGCTTGAGAAAAGTGCGGTTGAAGGCGGTGAAGCGATTGTCCACGTAGCGATAGTAGACGAAGTGACTCTCGGTGTGGTCCGTTAAGGAATGGTGGAGTTGATGCCAAGAGTGCTCGATGAGGGTGATGGCGACATTGCACAGGGCTTCAGTGTAGGGGTTGGGGGGCCGTCGAAGAGGCTCAACGGGTTCCTTCCGTGTACTGGTGGCCACATGGATGCCCTTAGGGCGTGAGGTGTTGGCGGAGTCCGGGGTGGAGCTGGAGGCCATTGTGTCTGAATGTTGAGGATTGGGAGTGAGACGAATGTTGGAGCGGTGAGGGGGGCGGGACCGAGTCCTGGTGTTGTAACTGGTCAAGGGAGACGTTGCCCAAAGACCGCGCTTGGGTGGGGGATTTGCTGGCGGTTGAGGTCGGGTGACTGGACGAGGTTTGGGCTGGGGGCTGGGCGAGGGGCTGCTGAGGTCGTGGTGGTAGTGGTGGTCAATCGCTGACGGACGGTGGCCTTGGGCACGGGTGGTGTGGGGGCCGCAAGTGAGGGTTGTGTGGGTTGTGTGGAAGGGGGATGTGGCGAGGGACAGTAATGTTGATTGGTGGTGGTCGTGAAGAGGTGGTGTCCTGGGTAGAGGGTGTAGCCGCCGCGGGTGTGGAGGTAGCGGTGGGGGCAGTGGAGGAGGTGTGAGCTTGAGTCTGAGTGGCATCAGTGGTGCCCGTGGGTGTTGGTGCGTCCTGGGATGTGCCCGGTAGAAGAGCCTGAGACGGCGACGAGGTAGTCGTTGGCGGTGTAGGGGGATGGGCCGGGGGCTGTCCGATGGGGGCTGCTGGTACAGTTGGAGTGGGAACGGCGGTTGGTGGATAGGCAATGGTAGGGAGTTGACTTGGGTGTACGGGTGTGGATTGAGGATGTTCGGTAGGAATTGCACTGGGAACAGCCGCCGGTGGGGATGTTGGCCAATAAGACTGCGGGGCGACGATCAGAGTTTGGGGATTCCAAGTGGGAGCTGGTTCTGGTTGGGGGGATGGATGTAGGGTGTGGAAGGCGGAGGGGATCTGAACGATCTGTGCATTGGGCATAGTACTCATTTGAGATGTCAAACTCGTTGGGGGTAAAGTGGATGCATACTGAAGTTGTGGGTGCTGTAGAACCGGCTGAATCTGAGGCACAGGGATCTGCATGGTCGGAAAGGTTCCATACGGAGTCGATGGTGCCACCAAGGAGGTCGGTTGTGACATAGGGCCATACGATGTCGGGGCATTCGTCATCGGGGTGGATTGAGGAACCCACTGGTAGTTCATGGCGTCGCAGTGAAAGGCCGTAGAGGGGTGCTGAGCGATGTGAAAAGTGCAAGCGCATGAACCTCGTACCGTGCCTGGAGTATCAGCCTGCATCCTGCCTATGATCCCTTAGTCGGACAATCTGTACAAGTGATTACTTAGACGCATGTTTCCATGGTAAGGCAAATCCAGAATTCGGATCTCAGTGAGCCCTGCGGCATAGTATCAGTGGTATCGAGCAATGACAGCAAATCAGAAGGAATCGAACGAAATGCCAAGGTGGAAGCAATCCCCCAGAATCTGGGTTTGTGCACATGCAGCGCCCCTTGACGGGGATCACACCGCAGCCCTCAGTGGGGCCCTGTGGCGAAAACACACTTAGATTGTCGCTCGCAAGAGCTAGGATCAGTACGAAGTTCCCCTTGACTTGAAGAACCGAAGGAAGTGCAAACCGCAAGGTGGTAAAGTCAGTGAACTTGTAGGTGTTGAACACAGTTGGGTAATGCATTAGCGGCTTACTGCAAAAACACAGGATTGGACAGCTTGTCAACAGTTGAAAAATTAGAGCAGGCACGTGCAATCTGCGTCCAGATTGCGTATCACAGCAAACTTGAAGTGCCTTCGTTGAGCGGTGACTTCAAGAATGCCCACCGCTCCCCTGCTACATTGAAGTAAGACCGAGCGAAGAAATTCACAAAGTTGTCTAAAGAAGAGTATCGTGGGAAGGAGTTGAAATCCTTGGAAACAGGCGTTGACACGCACACACACACTTAGACAACGGGTTTGCAGTTACATCAATTCTCCGAGGAAATGAATGAGGGAACGGAAAGGTGGCAAAGTCCGCGGAAAAGAAAAGTTGAACATTGTTTGCAAGTGCGCTCGAAAACGATCTGACACGCAGCGCGGCTGCAAAGCGGCTGCAAAGCGGCGGTGGGGAGAGGGTTTGTGGGAAGCATCATGAAACCACCATGGAAACAAACAAGGAAAGATTGGAGTAACAGCTTGTGAAAAAATTCCGCAGGTACACAGCCAGATGTCTCTGACTGCTTCCCTCGACACACCATAGCTTCGTTGCGTCAGGTAGGTGTGTCGAGCCTGACGCCCCTGCTTGTGGAAAACTCTTAGAAACAGAGTGTGACACACACGCACACACACACTCGGCCGCTTTGCGGCGCTCTCGCGGAGGACCTAAATAGGCGCCTAAAAAGCCTTAGAAACAAGAGAAAGAAAACCAGGAAGAGCAGCGCTAAAAGGGCAAGAGAGAAAGATAGGAGTAGCAAAAAGTGAATACTTAGCCCTTGACTGGGGTAGGGAAACGAGCCTCAAGAACAACCTAAAAAGCCTGAGAGAAAGCCCAAGAAACGACAAAAAACGCAAGAAAGAAAGTGGGGGGGGGGGGG